TTATAATTACATATTAATATTTTAATATATTATTTTGTTGTTATATTGTTATATTTTTTATTTTATATATATATATATATATATATATATATATATATATATAATATACATTTATATATATATATATATATATATCGATTAATGCATAAATAGATAAATATAGCTATATATACAGGTACAGATATATATTGCCTTAAATTTTACAGGTATATAGGCATATATACAGCTTAATGGTATCTTTCACGAAAATGACGGTGCACCATAGCATACTAATCTTGTCCGCCCTAAAAAAGGCACAAGTCGGTAGCTTGATGTCGTGTTGTGTAAGCGTGCGTACAAATGTTGAAATATATATATACCTATCTTTTTCCTGCGTCTTTGTACTTCAGGCCTGGTGTGCGTGCGCGAGTGGCTCAGCAGTGCTCTCTGTTTTACGCCGAAACGCTGGACTGCATTGTGGCTGCTGAAATGTACGGCGAGCAATTGGAAGAGATCATCACGCAGCACATGAAAAATACACGTGGTGAGCTATGTGTGGATGTGATAGTGTGCGTTTGTGTATACTAACAGGCACTGCAATGGGCCATGCTGCCAATGGTGTGTATGTTCGCTTCTATTCGCATAGGCGCCACGGAAAAGGGTGGCTGAGATTCGACTGTACATGACCGGTTTTTCTGTAGATCTCATTTTAATATGTTTATAGCATACCGACATTAATACAATTGTAGCTACTTCGCACCTACACGCGTATGCTGTAGTGCAGCACTTATGCAAATAACTTTGGGTTTCCCTGACCTGTTCCAAAGTACAGCTCAAAATAATTAGATGGGCTATGATGTGGTCATTGCTCAATTCTGTTATCTGCAAGAATGAATTGTGGGTGTATGGGGTTTTTTTTGGTTCGGTAAAATTCAACCGACTCGTGTCAGTATATATTTTCATTTACAGTTGATTAGCTTCTATATTCTCTTTACATTTTTGACTGGCCACGCTCACTCGACGTGTCTCGATGACTTTTGTGTTGAGGCGATTCTTGCTGATTATACCCCTTGAACTGGGAGCCGTAAGTTATAGGTACTAACTATATGTATTTACCTTTTTTACCTTCTTCCACGTGTACAGACACAGTGTCGCGTATATCGGTGTTGCATTTATGTGCGCGTATATCGGTGTTGCATTTCTGTATGTATTTCTGTAGAGACTATGAGCGTATGCTAGCGCACAGTATACTCAACATTATGATTTGTTTATTTTTCTTCCTCAGACATCTCAAATGTAAAATCTGAGCTTTTCCACGCACTGGCAAATTTTTACGCCAGTAAAAGTGCTGAAGACAACATGAAATTTGGCGAACGGGTTGTTTATGCCAAGGTGAATCCAGGATACGACCATACATGCGTGCTTAGTTGCTCTATTTGTAAATTACGAACAGCGTGCGCATTGTGCGTAAATTAATGCAACCAATTCTCTGGCACAATAAATGCGTGAGTGTATACAAAGCGTCTTGTTTGTTTTTCGTTTGTGATGTCCTTTGGGTAGGCTATGTTCTCCCAACTTTCAGCAAGTGTCATGATACCGGCGAAGATCGTCGTCTATTGAAAATATTATAAAGTGTATTTTTATGTGCTTGTATATTCACTCTTCGAAGATAGCGACCATGTGTGACTGATCACAATTTTGAATCCGTATTGCCGTATCGGTTTGCTGAGCGCAATAAATGTGAGCACAAGCTATTATTCATGTTGCTGTGTACACAGCTGTTTTCCATCAGTTTTTTTTTTGCCGCATATGCTCACAATCATAGTGGCCTTTATATACGCGGATTTGAATCCCGTTGCAGACATGTCTCGCGCACGCAAAGGATGCGAGCGACGCTATGACCAAACGAATTCCCCCGGCACTCAAAGCCAATGTGGACACGCTGTTGGAGATTTGTCAAGCAGAACAGGCGGCAGCAACAAATGACAACGACGAAATCTATCACGAACTGGTACCAGAGACGGTTGCTGAGGTGTGTGGCTTACACGTAGCATATACTCGAAAACATTGGTAATGTCTTGCACACGCAAGATACGAGGGGAGCCATAGGCATGTGTGCGTTCTGCTAGAAATGTGGGGTATATGACGATCCCTGTAGAAATCTACTAGACGGTTGACCTGGCTCCTACACAGACACGGTGGTTATCATCAACACGCGAGTGCGATATTAATTGATCACATGAACTTCTCACACGACCATTACTCTGTGTATCAAACTTGTGAGCTTTCAATTACGTAGGCGAGGTTGAGTTTGTGCAAATGCAACGTAAACCGTTTTTTGCACCTCTATACTATCTTCGGTCATTCTGAGTTTTCATTGGATTCTCATCTGATTTGTCAATCTCTATTGGTGTACCGTTTATGTAGGATGCGTGTCGTCCTTAAATGAGTCTGTAATTTACTCGAAGAGTATTTCAAGCTTTGTGAGTTTTTCGGCATTAGTGTGCGTCTTTCACATTAGACTGTTGCAACTCGAGCTAAATAGTATTGCGAGTATTTGCTACTGTGGACTGGGCCATCTTTCTGGATTAATGTGTGTGTGATGTCTAGTTTATATTGAGAGAGGTTGTCTACGAAGTTATATTTGGTATTAATATTTCCATAAATGTGGTATTTGTGTCGTAAGCAAGTGTTAATTGTTTGTTTCTTTGTTGCCAATCGTTGTTTCAGAACGATCAAGGCGCATTTCATTCTATATCCCGAGTGGGGGTGGAGGATTTTTCATACAGTTGATGAAACCTTGTTTATTTATGTCACTCATATTGAACGATTTGCAGATAAAACCCGCTGTTCTGGTGAATGCCATGACAGTGCAGGAAGGGCCTGCTTCCGCGGATTTGGTGGGACCTGATATTTTCAACTCGTTGGTACCCCTTTCTGTCCTTTCGGCTGTATCCAAGTACAGGTATGTTGTTTCAACGATGTGTCTCGTGGCGTACATCCAATGAGGAGGTCACTTCATTGATAGCTAAATTTGTGGAGGTGTAAGTGATATAAATACACAACTACTATAGTAACAACTATGCACGCACGTATACAAGGTGTAGAAAAAAATTCTAGTCTTCATCAAATCAACTTCAGTGGCCGTTTTGTACCGTTCATGAGCGTGAACAACATATTCACCCCCCTGAGTTGACCGTCGTCAATGACGAGCAAAATTCTTTTTTAGCTGACATATCATGTTAGCTACGACGGCGTTATGCTTGTCAGTCAGTAAAGTGGTCAGACACCCCACAGCATTATTGTTTTGGGTGGGAGAAGACTGTAAGCTGACTGTGCTCTCGCGCTGAGGTTGTTCCTAAGTTTCGGACAATTTGCCTGGGCCAAGTACCAGAAGCCGTTATCTTCACGAGGCAGCTTGGGTTTTTGTAGTAAGATCACGAGTAGGCCTATCAACGTTTGTTTGTACTCGTGCTTGTATTGGTTTTAATTTGGAATCGTTGTCACGGGGATCGTGCGACTGCAATCGTAGACACCCTTATCGCCTTATGTGATGAAGACTGACACTGTTGTTATTGATCCTTGTAGCGCCGAAAAAGACGAGCTCTTCCGCAAAGTCAAAAGAGAATTCACGGCACTCACAGACGATATCAAACAACGCCTCAAGACCATGCGTTTACCTCGCGTACTTGATTCCATCGGTATGTAAAATTATGTGTAGAATATCTTCGTACAGGCGACTACATCCACACATGATTGCATAATCCTGATTCTACGAGAGCTAGCTGTCACGCTTAGGGGTTGTAGAGTTTGTCATATACAAACAGTGTACCCAATCTATAGGTCACATAGCTCCTTACCTTCACTGTCGAAATTGTGATGGTCGAGCAGGGCAGTTTCCTGGTTCTTGTTGACGAAGGTTCCCGTTTGTGTGTATATCATGGTAATTTCTTTCCAATATGAGTAGATTTCTCTAAGTTCGTGTTTCTTAATTCGTATACGTGCGTGAACCTCTCATATAGCATGTCTGTCTCGCAACAATGTGCAAAACTTCTATTTGTTTTATGATTAATATCAGTTGGCAGTCCCGTTCTCAGTCACGATCCCAATGCCAGCTATTCAGGCATGAAATGTACGCCTTTGCAACGAAGCCGATATTCAACTGCAACCTCAAATATGTCTGTCCACATATCCACGTAGATCTATATACCTGTAGGATAGAACAATGCTTACTAATCAGGCTTTTTTCAACAGATATAAATAATGTTGACGGAGTGCCCAAGGAACTGCAAAGCGCGGTACATCGTGCTCTTTCGCTCGGCAAAATTGAAGAGCTGAAGGCTGGGCTGAAAGAGGTCCATGCGGTGAGAGAGAAGGTGCGTGAATTAAGTTTACTTTCTACTACCGTGTGCTATATAGTAAGCGAACGTGTCTCATTCATCATTGCATGGTGCGTTTTGAAATAGATGCTGTGTTGCACGACGGTCTCTGCTGGTGCGATGGCCTCATTCTTGAAGAAAAATTATCCAATTACTCGGTCGCAGCTAGAGCCCTCAATACAGAAGATTCGTTACATGCGACAAGAAGAGGAAGGGGCGCACTTGGCATTGCGAAAGGCTTTGGGGGACAAGTATAGTGGAGGAGCTTCTGTCAATCGTTTAGTCAAGGAAACGTCATCTACCTTGGACGCTTATAAATCAGCGGTGGATGCCGACACTAAATTGCAGCAGCTAATCTCGCAACGAGAACCCGCATTCAAGGTACGGTGTGGTGGACAGTATTATTTTTATTGATTGTTTTGTTGCCTCGTACGTTAGGAACGTGTACGAGTGTTGTACAATGGACGGGTACTGCGGTATGAGTTTTTTTTTGTTTTTTGTTTTTTTTTGGCAATGTTTCGATATCACGTTTTTCATTGGCCTCGCATAAGATATGGCATTTAAGATTACCGGATGTCCACCATTTAGGTGTTATTCACACTTCGATTTTGAGGCTACATGCACGGCTCATTCGCACACGTTTCACGACATTCACGCGAGCACACAACACGCCTAAGTCACCCATCCAAGTATATAGTGGCTACGCATCTCGGGTAATCATTGGCTCTTCTTCCTGCTTGTATGTATACCACGGATTTCAGGCATAAAACACTCGCGCATACTGGGAGTCGCCACTCATCTACACTAGTATATATCAAACGTCACTCTTACAGTATCTCTATATCATCACTTGTGCTTGATTGCAGGTTGTCCTCGCTTTGGGTACAGCCGAGCCCTCCAATCGAGATGCCATCTTACCTCCCTGGGACGAAGGAATTGACATGAAAGCCATTGTACAGCGCCTACGCACACTGCTACACAAGTGTGACCAGATGTTAGCACATCGAGAACAGCTGCAGTCTGAATTGCGCAATCTTGTCGACACGCAAGACATCTCCGATCAATTGGTGTGGAGTGCTGTAGGCCGAAGGTTTGCCGGTGGCAATACTGAGGATATCACTATCGCAGATGAACAGAAAGTGGACGCCACGCAACCCCAGGATGACAATAGTGAGCAACAACTTAGTGTAGAGGAGGTACAACGTCGCATAATGGATACGGCCATGACCAAGTATGCTTTAATTTGTTGATTCAAGTGTAGGTGTTTGTGTCTGTGCTCAAGTTCTCAGTGGGACTGAATCTGTGACCCTGATAATAGCTATATGAAGTCTGGTTTATTGTCTGATATGGGTTCACGATTAAATCCTAATGCTCGTTCTTGACGATTAAATCTTAATGCTCGCTCTTGACAGTTAATGTGATTTCGTCTGTGACTACGTTCATACGTCCTTGTCTGTGTATTTGACAATGTCTTTTTTTGTGTCTGCCTTTTTGTAGTTTAGTAGATACACGTTCATTATTTTGTCGTGGCTTTGTCAGTACTGGTATCGGTATCGGCATCGCGTGTGTTTAATTTGTCTATATCTATACGAATCAAGCTGAGGTATAGGGATTGACGCTGCGTTGAACTTTTCGCTAGTATCGCTAATCTGTCTATATTTCCAATGCCGCCTCTTTCTCCTTCCAGATTTTCTATGTCTGTAGGCAAAATAGACTCTGTTTGTGTCTCCATCTCGTTGTCACGTGTATACGACTGGCGATAAGATGTGATTAAGACTCTGCATCTGTCTGTCTGTGCCTGTATTTCTCTAATCATGGTACAGTTTTGATTAGCTTCAGTCCATGTTCTCCAGTTTGGTATACTTATTTTTATTTTCGTGTCAGCCTCAGAGGAGCTGTTTGTGTGGCAGTGTAATCTTGGCTTTGAGACTTGTATCTGAAATATCCTTCTTTTTTCTCTTCTCCGAATTTGCTGCGCCAGTTTCTGCTTTTACCTGTCGGTGTGTTTTGGGGTCAATATGTGCAAGTCAATTAATTTGCTGCAGCTATTGGATGAGTTTATGCGTGTGTGTAAGTTTGCACCGCCTCTAACTCCGATTACGATTCAGTCTCTACCTTTGTGTGTTAGCTTTTTGTCCTCAACTATATTTTCTTCTTCTACCTTGTTCTCAACCTCTATCTTTGTCTCTGAAAGTGCGTATCGGTCAAAACTTTGACTCTGGCTTTAAAGTGTGTTTTCTTACGTTTGTATGTAGTTCTGTGTCTGTATCTGTTCCTATTCCTGCGCTGCTTTTCTTTGTTACACTATTGCTTTAGCTGGTAATTTGTGTCATACTATTTGAATGTGCTGGCAAGTATTCAGCTTTTGCAGTTTGGCTAAGCATGTTCCTCTCCAATGTGCTCGTGGTACACAAAGCGATATACAAACTTTAGATCTGATATTACAGAAAGGATGGTGTTGGTATGTATTTACAGACAAAGATGTTTATAAATCGATCAGGTACATGTTTCATATTATGCTACATTATACGTACATTCCCGTATACTACTGTGCCTATCCCATATCTCATTACACTGGTCTTTTTTTCCTTGACGTAGGTATGACTCGATCCGGCAGATCATCCGCACTAACTGTGAAGCGCAGCCTCCCCTGCTACAAGCGCTTACTTCAGCCAATGCCGATTTTGTGAATGCGATGTCCAATAGTAAACGGGGAAAGGGCGTATCTGGATTAGTGGAAAGTGCGAAGCAATACGTAAAGGTGTGCATTTATCAACATGCCTTTGGTGTTGCCAATCTCTTCATGCTATAGTTTTTATCGCAAAACTCATGCGGAATGTGCTTGGTCAGAACATCAGAATGACTACAGCGGTGGTACCTGCTGATGTGGTCGTGATACTGTGTCCGTTGGGTAATCTCGTGTAGTGGTTTCAACGACATTTCTATGAGACTAGTGATAAAGCAACTGTACATGCGCTTTTGATCCTGAAATCAGTGATGAATGCCAGCTCACTGGTAGTATTATTGTTTGTTGTTCTCATCCGCATCTTGGCTAAAGTACGCATCGAGTTATCCGAGTGACTCGATTGGCAGAGTGGGCGTGCAAATTACATACATGCATAACCTTTTTGTTAATTAAAGATTGTCGTACGCTGAAAATGGCATATGTAGTCTCGGTGCTGACTTATGTGTATTTCGTTGTTTCTCTCGTCGTGTTCAGTTGTCCGCCTGTTTTGATTGCAAATGTTCAGTTAGCTACATGTTCAAGTTGTTAGTTGTATGTCTGTGTGCAATGAATATGCGATATTTTTATGTGATGCACAACTACGCATCCCTCCTAGTCAGAACGCGTCTCATACTTGATAGTTATCGGTCTAAAAACTATTTTTAGCAGCTCGCTGATATCAATTTTGTCGTCATGTTCGCAATCGTTCAATTAGGCATGGGAGACATTGCAAAGTAGTGAGCAGTTTTGGATCAAGTTGAACCACCTAGTGGATGAAGTTGTGGAAGGATGGGGTTCAGTACGCAAAGAGCGCGAGATCGAGGAAATTCGTTCAGGTTTGGGTTCTAAACCCCCGAGCGGTGGTGCAGCAGGTGCGATCTCAAGATGCTTATGTGTTTTGTGAGGGCAAGCAACCAATCGAATCCTTTTCAGATTGTATACCTTATCTGTGACTTCTACGTGCGCACAGGTACTGAAACAGAAATGTGGTTCGAGCTGTGCCAAATTTTATCATTATCTGCTACTCAGTTTTAAGCTCATTGCTATTTTTCGTTCCCACCCGTATTCAACTTTTGACGTTATTATGACGTCTCGCATTGAAATATTGTTGATGCATTAAGATTATTTCTATATATATATATATATGTGTGTGTGTGTATGTATGTATGTATGTATGTATGTATGTATGTATGTATGTATATTTATATAAATTATGTATACATATATATATATA